AGTAAGCGAATAATTAACAAGACCAAAATATGACTCATAATGGATAGGTGAATTGGCTTGGCCAGCAACTAGAATAAAGTATATGGGCTTAACATATAAACTGATACTACATGTTATCAAGGGGAATATAAACTGGTTCATATTTGGTCTTTCAAGTTTTTTTTATACAATGGATGTAGTTCAGACTATCACCAAAAGAAATGAAACAGTTTATTCAATATCACAGTAGAAAAACTAACTTAGTTTTATTTTCAAAGTTACTGTTGATTTCACATATGCTTGTAAAAAAAGGTCTGATGAAGTTAATCCATAGAGCCACTTTTAGCTCATTAATCAATAGCTTACCAAACTATCAATTGAATAACTAAATATGCTTATTCAGTTTTGTTGCTTAACTAGCTTAATTGTGTCAATCAGTCACTCAGTCAGTAAGTCACAACGTAGAACTTCGTACGTACGTACGTACATCAGTTTGAGTTGAATACTGGTATTTCATTTTTAATGTTCTGTTAATCCAAGTGTATTAATTTTTGTGGGAGACTATATACACGGATCGAATTATTTTGTCATAGCTATTTTTATATGAATGTATAAAATAAGAAATTCGTTGATATTTCAAAAGTCAGTCAGTAATCCACGATGTTGCACCATCGTCCACCATTGTCTTCAGTGAGTAACTGCTTCTACAACAGAGGCAGTGGAACCCCACTGACTTTGGCTTCTCACTAGAACTCCAGGAATCTCATTTTGAAGCCAGTCACTAGTGAGCACATGATAATTAACAGTAATCATTTCCATAATCCCATACTGATAATTAATTTTTATTTGATTTCAACTGTTATTCGAAATTACCTCCAGCGACTTATCTGTCAACATGATTTCCATTGGCAATTCGGGTTAATTCATTTTTTTTAAAAACAAAAGCTCTATATACACCATTACCATAATATCATTTAATTGACCTTTTTTCAAATTCGTGGATGCACACTGCTGAGGAGACTTATAATAGGACGAAACGGCCGTCCAGTGCTTCAAGGGTTTCCATAATGGTCTAGCTTCAATTCACTCACGCTTTCAACTATGAAAAATACTAAATCTCCATAAAAACCCACTTTCATAATTCCCAAAAATCAACTATCTAGACGTATTACGTAATCATTGGTCTGGTTATCAGATGAAAAGTAAAATCTACTGTTCATCAATATAAACCTAATCATTAACTATTAAATACCATGGATTTCTACTAATTTTCTATACCTTGTATTTGACTGCATGTGTAGTTTTTCATTTCATCTAGATACGATTAGTGTATCTTAAGTAGAGGAACTGAAAAGGGATGATTATTTGTTGTAGATGACATTAGTTTTAGCGAAATCTACTGACTATCTGTATACACATTAGAATCTGTAATTGTTATATCAGGCTAATTGTAATGAATGCTTGCATATAAGAGGGTGTATATGAAATTGTTTAGTTGGATAGTTAACATTCAATAATAATCGATGCAACTATAAGTCTAAGGTGCATGATAATCAAACTAGTTTATCATTACTATAGGGACTAACTTACATAATGGGAATGAGATAGCATTATAATTTCCCAAAATGATCGATGTATATTGGCTAGACATATTGACGTAGTCAAATATATAACAAACCTCAGGATAAATGACAGAATTATACTACTGACCAACTAATAGCTGTATTGATGAGGCCTTACTTATAGACAGAAAAAAAGAATAAAAACTAGGCTTTAAAATATGCCTCAACATTACTACCACAGGGCTTTCGCTGTAATAAACATGTAATCAATGAGAACACAGGTAGAGATAACCAATATATTAAAAAAACCGGAGTTCTTTCATCAAATGTGAAAGCCATAAATTCAATACTTCATTTTCAAATCCTCTATCGCTTGTCTCAAAACTCATCGTTCCTTCGTTACCATAACATTTACTCTCTGTTCCTGTGCTCTCCGATTCGTTTTTCCCAAACTTCTGCTGCTAGACATTCTGCTTCTGATTAGCGTTACATACTTGTTCACTTGATATTGTTTACTTGAATGATCACATTGATGTTTAGCACTGCAATTGATCAGTGTGTTATCGACATATGTGCATACTGTGCGAATTGCCTCGATACTGTCTCAATTCACAAGCATTGTAAGCAAAGACGGATAATGGATAGCGATGGATTCGTATCCCAGAGTGACCATCAACTATGAGATGCAGGTAAATCTAGATGATGAGTCCCTAATAGGACGAAACGCTCGTCAAGCTGGATTTCACTGCTTGCCACTATCCATCTTTGGTTACATATATGTGTTCACTATGCATTTGTTACTAGTACGTTTCACAGCAAAAGTTTACGAAAAATGAATGTAACTTTGGAGTAAGATAAGAATATGTCAGTGGTCATCACTGACATGTTACTGAAGTGACATTCTAAATGATGACAGTCAGTATGTTTCACATTGATTTAAACAAAATAACACTTGGCTTAGACTTTGAGGCTAGATTCGTGAACGTATCGTTGTCTCCACTAATTATTTATTTAAAATCAAAAGGAGACCGAAATAAAACAAATATCCCGCATCTATGTATCTCAAGAGTAATTCAAAGCATCTTCACAAGTAAAAAGGATAATAATTACACTTACTAAAACTCTCCCATCTAAAAATGCAAGATTTCCGTCGTTCTCCGTGAAATTTTTTGATGAATTCGTATAATTTGGATAAATAAAGTAAAGCAGACACAAAAATGTATGCCGTTTATAGTAGAAAAAGATTGAGAAAATACAGATTATAACCACATCAATTCCAGATTATTGGTGTCCTGATTGACAGTGTATATTGCAAGTATACATTTTTAAGTGAACAAAATTAATCTACACTTTCTTATTGTATGGTATATCATAGTCAAAGACATACCATAATAGACTAGCAAAAGTTAGATGTATTTCACAATTGTGAAATCCATCCACTTGTAAAAATGATCAATTTAAGATCTTCCGAAAGGAATTAAACGTAAATAATTTTTAATATCAATCAAAACAAACTAAAAATGTTTCGAAGGTCCTGATGGTAGATATATATTTTGTTCTGACTCCTTACTCCTCAGTGAAATCTACATTGAACCAATGTAAAGTAAGTGTCAATTACATGAAACCAATCCTCTAAATATGCATTTAAGAACATTTGTATGTAAAAACGTTTGTAATAAATCATCTTATAACGTCACCTGATATTTAAACTTCATTCATCTTTAAACTAAAAGTGAAGTCAAAGTAACTGTAGTTTACTTTTATTTTGATTAAAAGATTAGTTCTGAATGCAAATAAACATGACAAATATCTTTTAATAAATGATTAGACAATATATAATGTAGAAAGTTGTTATATTCTGTGGAGATTTATGAATGGTAACTTTGAGAACTATTTATAGACCAATATGATATGTATATTTCCTATTGTATATTAGTTATGTAACTTTTCATATTCATGTTCCTTGTCTTATGAGCTTGTAGTACCGCGATTCGTTAATCGTTTACTTCCATAACCGTTATAATTCTAATCTTAACGGTGCGTAAAATCAGAAGACAAAGGATAGCAGCAACTACAGTTTATTGTCGAATAACTCAGGTCAGAAAGTTAACAACACCTGAGCGAATATCAACGAGCGAGTGAACAGGCGAATAAGCAAAGGAAGCGAACGAGGTGCAAGCGAGCAAATAGCAAGCAATTACATAGGCAATTTATAGTCAAATTTAATAAGGGCACGGTAAAGCAAAACAAAGGCTGATGATAATATTTGCGTGCGTACATATATGAAGAGGAGTATGAGTCATCGAATGATATTTAAGCAGTCAACATTTCGGCTAGAGTGTCATGTGCTCTAGTGGTATAGCAGTGCAAAGAATATGCAAATTGTTACTATCCAAATGACGATGTCTGTTAAGTAAGTTATAAAAAAGGGCTTAACCAAAATTGGCTATAATCGAAATTGATTGTAGGATGGTTGCTATAAGCTTCATTTTGACCCATAGACTATTATTATTATACGATTTACCATTCTTGAGTTATCCCCAGTCTATTAATAACGGTACCTCACATTCACAGACACATTTGGCCAAATCTTGTACAAATGTTATTTTCTATTTTATGGTACGATGTGGTCTGTTTGATTGATATATAAACCCAGTATGTTTAAAAATAATGATTCATATTGCAGAGGCTGTTATTGGTGTTCTGGACTTAAATGACTAAGCTAGGCAGTAAGCAGAATTAATAAGTACTCAAGACTGCTCATACAGGTTTTGTGTATTATTAGATCCGATCGATAAAATCACTCATCTCCAACTGGCGATCTTATCACTTCATATATTAAAAAGGGCATTCACTCAATCGATATAACAAATAGTATCACAATTTCACATTATTATTATTATTATTATGACCAAAACACAAATGAAAGGAATTTACAGTCCTCCTTTTTTTTATTTAAAAAAAAATATGAAAATGAAAATGGATCATTTAAAAAGAAAAGTGAGTAGCTAATTCACTACTCCATGATGAATAAAAAACAACAACAGGAAAACCATCATTTTAATTTACAAAACACTAAAGGACACTTTCAAGAAAAGAACCCATTTCAAATGTTATGATTATTTAATTATTTAATTTCTTAATATTCCATAAGTTCACCTGTAACTCCTCTGGGAGCTACTGTCAGTCTCAAGTTCGGATAAAGAGAAGAGGGTTGGGCATGGGGTTAGCGATCATAAAAACATAACCCTTTAAAAAACGCATCAATATTCCATAGTTATATATATATCATGTATCATAATGACAAGTTATTCAAAGTAAATAATTTAAATTGATGTTGATTCTTCTTTCTTTTTTTAAAAAGGGATTGAAAGACAGACGTTCAGCGTGTTTTGTTTATTTATTAGAAAAACGAAAGCAAACAAAATTAATACAACAACATAATTATGACCATAAATAGTTACATATATGAGTATAATAAAGTAGAGTAGGTAAAAAGATGTTATGAATCTGTTCTTTGTATACATGATGGAAATGGAATATGTATCATTGGATCCAGTACGTTATGAAAATCAATCACGAAATGAATTTAGATTTATGTTAGGGGTATGTTTTGTTTTAGGTTCCCAATATATGAATACCCAATACCCTGAGTATATATATATATATTAACTCATGTATATTTCATTGTTTCATTGAGATGAAGGTGAAATAGATCTATTTGAACGTGATCTATTAGATGATATAAATTGATCTGGTGTACGAGCTCTAATAGGTTTTTCTAAATGATCTATAATAGTTGAATCTTGTATTTTATCTTGTGTAAAATCATGACTTGCAGCTAAAAATGCTGAAATTAATGTTGCTGCACTTAATTTAGCTGCTATTTCTGAAGGTAATTGTATACCACATGTTGATGAACATGATGAATGACATGATGAACCAGTAGTACCATCTGTTGTAACATTTAAAAATGAAGCATCTGTTGTACCACTTTCAAATGTACTACAACTTAATAAACTGCTTGCAGTAGTTGAAACACTAGCATGACTAAGACTACGACTACGGCTTGGATGTCGTCTTAGTCGTGTCCAATCAGTGACTCTTAATCGTGCAGCTTCTATTTCAGCTTCTAATTGACCTAAATTTGTACGAATTTGACGATATGTTTCAACAAGATATTGTTGTTGATCAATCCATCGGCCATGTGGTGTAGTACCAATGGTAGATCCAGTATTTCTGTCCATTACAATTCCAGGCATCTGTTAGTGTATAAAATAAATGTAAAATGTTGGTAATAAAAAACTAAGACAAAAACAATAGAGGTTAAGCATAATGGAAGGTTTTTATTCGATAGCACAAAATCATTATAAAGTATACATTCTATGAGTCTAACCTTTCATAGCATCGTCAGTCAGTCAGTCACAACGTAGATCTTCGTACGTACGTACATCAGTTCGAGTTGCCATACCACATTTACACAGAGATACACATGTCGATTCAAATTCCATAATGGTAGAAGTAATAAGAGTATAAGCATTAATGTGAAAAATTAGGGTTTGAAGATGTTATTGAAGAAGTATAATCCAGTGAAATAAATTTGAAAATAGAATAAAAATAGAGACATGGAAAATTCATGAGATTAGAATTTGGCAGAACACAAAGAGTAAATGCACCTGCGCCATTGCAAACCATTTTCATCTATGTCACTCAAGGTCTCTAATCATCGATTGCTATCATCTCGTGATTCCCAACCAGATAGTCTACACCTATCAACATGCCTGAGTCCAATTGTCAGTGACTTCGTAGATTTGTGCCATGTCTTGGTCTGGCCGCTCCTAGCTTTCTTCCAACCTACTCTTACACCATAAAACATTGCACGTCGGGGCAGTCGGTGATTGGGCATATGTAACACGTGTCCCAGCTATCTCAATTGATGAAATTTCACTACTTCATCAATCGATTTGCCATCCTTACCTAGTACCCGTTTCCTAACAACTGCATTACTTATCCTGTGGTCCCAGGATATACGAGCAATGCTTCGAAGATACCTATGATCGAATACAAGCAGCCTACGAATATCCTCTACTCTTTCCGGCTATGTTTCACTGCTATACCTGCGGACACTGATTTCCAACTGGTTAAGTGTCAATTGCATGGCTTGGGCATTATCGCACAGTAAGACAACATCATCCTCATACTCAAGGTACTCATAAGTACCTTAATATTAACAGTTGAATTCATGGGTCAAGTGAAGCCAGACCACTATGGAAAACCTGGAAATATTGGACTGCCGTTTCGTCTTAGTGTGGGATTCCTCATCAATATACATCCACGATCTTGCTCACAGGATTTAAACCCACAACCCATCGGTCTCTACATCATTGAGCCAACATCAAACGAAGTTTATGTCTAATTTCAACCGATCTATGAGGAGTTCCATACTAAGACGAAACACTGGTCCAATACTTCCAGGTTTTACATAATGATCTAATTTTAATCGATTCATGAATTCAATTATTAACTTACTAGAATCTCCACAAACCCCTCCCCCCCTCTCACTTCTAACATTAATATTAACTTTTTTTTATTTGACAAATTTGTAAAACAAAATATTTGCGGTTAAAAAAAAATTTTTTTTTCCCATATTTTTTTAAAATGATAAATTATTTAACTAAAACTATCCCTTTTTCCCAAGAAAAATGCGTATTAACAATCATAATAGCGGAATAATGATGATACAAGTTTATTCAATGAAAGAATATACTAATCTATATTTGAAAAATGAATGAATCCTTTTTGTTTTGACAGATAACTGGTTACTATATAGATATGTGTGTTATGGTAAAGCATTACATTTAGTTGCTAGATCGTTTTCTTAGATTGAAATGTAAAAAAAAAGATATGAACCAGATGTTAGATAGAAATAGTTCTATGTATATATTCATAGACTATATCATTCATTGATTCTAATGAAGTCTGTATGAAGTAGAAACAGGAAACATTGAACAGCTATTTCATCATCAATAACACATCTATTACTTCAATGATGATCAAACTTAAGATCTACACTTTGATATTTGAACTTTTTACCTGTAGACCATTGAACCGATATCTAAGGATGTATATTTAGAAATTTAATCAGTTTGAGATAATGTACAGCCATCACTAGTTTTATATAGTTAAGATCATGAATCAATTGAAGCTAGATCACCATGAAAAATCTTGAAGCACTGGACGGCCATTACGTCCTATTTTGGGACTCCTCAGCAGTGTGAATCCACGATCCCACACTCGCGGGATTCGAATCCAAGACCTATCAGTCTCGCACTTAACCGATAGACCACTGAGCAGGCATTACTAGTTGTTCGATAATATTAATTAGTTGCTTGATGTATGTAATCATCCATTTATTCATTGACAAGTAGAATATCGAAAAAATAGACAATGGTTTTAGTAAGCATAGGTTATCTTTAGGGTATAGTAAGAGAAAAATGGATAGACTGAAAACAAAAACTAAGGCTAATCATAGAATCATTATTATTGAAAACCTATAAAGGAAAATTTATTATATATCGTTGAGATCATGAATCAATTGAAGCTAGACCACCATAGAAAACCTAGAAGCACTGCTTTAAGGCCGTTTCGTCCTATTATGGGATTCCTCAGGAGTGCGCATCCACGATTCCGCCTCGCGAGATTCCAACCCAGAACCTATCAGTTTCGCACGCGAGCGAGCTACTAACCACTAAACCTCTAAGCCGGTATCCAACGGTTAAACCGAACAAAACTAGCTAACAGATCAGTTGCTAAGCAAAATAATTATAATGATAGTAACCAGATTTAAAAAAAAGGATTATATATAGATATATATTTATATATAACACGCAAGTTCGGAACTTATTTTAAAACATACATAAAAGAAGGCAAAACAATCTGTTCAATAAATTCCTCACAAGTTTCACCAGTCTACCTTTCTCTTTCTTCTTGTGGTTGACTGGATTATGAAGACCTTCACATCTCTAGGAGAGCACGGAATGAAACGGACAGGTTGGATGCAGCTAGACAATTTGAACTTCACAGATGACCTGGCCCTTTTATCCAATACATACGAGAAAATGCAGGTCAAGAAAAATAGTGTAACAGAAGCCTCTTTATCAGTAGACCGCAACGTGCACAAAGGAAAAACCAAGATCTTCAAATACAACAAGAAGAACGCCAACCCTATCACACTTGATGTAAAAGCTCTGGAAGATTTGGGATCTTTCACTTACATGGATAGCATCATCGATGTGCAAGGAGTATCTGATGAAAACGTAAGTGCACGGATTAGCAAAGCAAAAACAACATTCCTACAATTGAAGAACATATGAAACTCGAATCAACTGTCCGTCAACCAAGATCAAACTCACAATCCTCAATACGAACGTCAATAGAGTTCTGCTGTATGGAGCCGAAACTTGGAGAACTACTACAACCATCATCAAACATGTGCAAGTATTTATGAACCATTGTCTACTCAACATACTCAATGTCTGTTGACCGGATACCATTAGCAACAACCTACTGCGGGAAAGAACAGAACATCTTCGAACTGATAAGGGGATCAGGCAACGACGTTGGAGATGGATAGGATATACATTGAATAAATCATCAAATTGCATCACTAAGCAAGCCCCATCTTGGATTCCTGAACGGACACGAAAAAGAAGAAGGCCGAAGAACACACTGCGTCGAGAATCGGAAGCAGGCATGAATAGGATGAATAGAAACTGAAAAGATGTGAAAATGATTGCATAGGATAGATTTGGGTGGAGAATGCTGATGAACAGCTCATGCTCCTTCATGGGGTAACAGGCATAAGTAAGTAAGTAACTTCTACATTTATAAATTCACATTAATGGCCGAAATGGGAAGCCTAGTTAAAAGCAAGTATATTCTCCAGAAATATAGAATATCAATTTAATATTATGGGTGAAATAAGTTCCATAACTGATGTTTGTCAATGTTTAGATGAAGAGTGTGTGGTATGTACTTAAATCAGTTCTTGGTTTAATAAAAATTGTAAGAATAATAAGTAGAATAAATATAGTTGAAGGAATAATGCAAAAAAATTAATGTAGTCAATGGTCAGAGAATTTGTCAGATCGAAGATTACGCAATTCAGGAACACATAAACATTGGTTTAATGAGGCACCAAATACATAAGCGCCACACAATAACAATGAGGCCAGTGGCAGTTGTCATTATTTGTGTGAAGGCTGTGATACTACCCGGGTGCCCAAACTAAAACAGGTGGTTTTCTTAGGGGGCTACACCATAAGCCTTTGAACTGAATGTTTTATGCTCAAAGCAATGGAGCAATGTTAGGAAAATCAGCCCCATGATGAGTCCATTTGCCTCGGGATCCTACAGGCCATGTAAATTATTGGTTTGGAATTATGGTTTTCCAACTCCTTTAGGTGGATCTTACACAACAGAAAGTATGTATTCATATTAGCCTTACAACCACGTATTTTATAGTTTTAAAGGGTATTACTCCAACTGTTTAAAAGACTCTCAGTCAGACAGCATAAACTGACTACTATTAATACTTTGGATCATTAAAAATGACTAACTTATGTCATCTTTATAACCCTCTTGAACATATGATTTAAGATCAAGAAATTTTGGATTGACTCATCACCATAACGGAATTATAAAGTAATGAAACATTGACTAATGTAATTTTTTACCAAAAAGCAGTGGAAGTGTCTATTATAAAAAGAATTTTTTTGGATTAGATACTTCGTATTATAGTCTCAGTATCACCTTTGAACGTCAAGGAGGTGAGAAACTAAATGCAGCTTAACTATATTGAGCAATGTTTTTCAACTGTTTAGTATAATCTCTAAATTAACATTTCGCTAAGTACATATTCGAATTAGATACTTATAAGCGGTTTGAACATCTATTATTTGAACCCTAGTGCCAGTATGTTTGTTTATAAACTTCTGAGATTGTTTATTGCCAATAGACATTTTACTTTTAAAGTACCTATACTGACCAATTATTCTTTGTTAGATTAATTCTTAACATATTAACTATCAACGCTATAACATTACATAAATAAGATTTATAATCTTTAAATCAGTACTGTTGTGATGTTGGATACTTATGTCCACATAAGTAGTATATGGTGATGGTTAGACATAGGATGTATTTTGACAGAAGATCGATAAGGAAAGAACTGAAATGAAGCGCAATTGTTAGGGAAATGCATAAACAATGAAATTAGAGAAGACGGATTGATATTTGCAGAAGGAATAATTAGGATTGAAACAATTGATTGTTGTTTTGCAAATTAACCGTTTGTTGTATGATTATCAGAATTTAGTAAGATAGTCTGGAATTCGTGATTAAATACATTCGATTGTCCCCACCCGTGTTCTTGTTCACTATACTGTTAACGCTTGTAGATAGAGAATATCCGTTCTACAGACGTATGTTGTTCATATCATATGATGTAATACTGATCTATTACGTAACGAAATATTTATTCCTACATACTGAATGTCGGATAAATATTCATAAACAACATTGTTTAATACAAGTCAAACAGAGACACGTGAGAGTTTGTAAGGAATATACAAATTCAATAGTTTTAGGACAATAAATATAATGTAGAGGGAAAAACTCTACGAAGACTATACAAAGTAATGATTACCTGATGGTTGGTTTGTTCTCTGAGTTGAATGGTTTGGTCGTGGAGCTTTCATCGTCCTTCTGAACGACATCATCAGCACAAACTTCCTCATGTGGAGAAATTCAAACACTTCGCTTCTACCCGAAGTTTGTGCTGATGATGTCGTTCAGAAGGACGATAAAAGCTCCACGACCAAACCATCCAGCTCAGAGAACAAACCAACATCAAAATCATCAACCTGAGCTACAAATCTTCTCCACCATTTCATTACCTGATAGTATACAAATGATAAATTCAAGCTTTTTTACGGTTAAAATTGTTTTACAGCTTAACACATGCATGCATTATGTCGGTTACTGGTTTGGATTCCTGCTACGTAATAACCAATAGCCGAATTCCTGTAAGCATGTGCTATTAATACTATCCTTCAGTTATTTCTATAAGTCAGATCAACTCAAACTCGCAAAAACTAGCATAAATCATAAGTCATTAGAATTAATAACGGTAATGATATAATCGACATGATGATGGTTTCGGCAAGATTAGCTTAATACTAGCTGAACTGTTGTAACTTATATTCTTTTATAAAACTATCTATTCATTAGAGATGATCTGAGCGAAAGTTAACCAGCTTTTATTAGTTGTTCAATGGGTATTAAAAACTAAATTCATTTTGTACATTAAAATCCTCAATGATAATGCAGTTTGTCCTCTGACTCTAAATTAATGTTCCAATGTTTCCAGCTTTACAAATGAAACAAAAGTACCAATGAAATCTGTCTTGAATTGATTTTTAAAAAAACTTATATTTAAATTGTATGATTAGCGAAATAATTCTATTTTCAGAAAATACAAGTAAATGAGATTGGTAGGTCCTGGATTTGAATCTCACGAGTGCGGGATCGTGGATGCGCACTGCTGAGGAGTCCCATACTAGAACGAAACGGCTTTAAATCAGTGCTTCCAGGTTTTCCATGGTGGCCTATCTTCAATTGACTGATGATTTCAACTATGAAAATACTGAAATCTCCACAAAACCCCTTCTGATAAATGAAACTGATCAAGATGGATAGTTGAGAAGTGTTATACACATTTTGAATTATTCTAATATACATAAAATGTATGACCTTAACTTGTCCTCATCGCAGTATCAATGACTTGTTTCATGTGAGACTAACTTATTTTGCCGAATAGTCCAAAAACTATATTACTAATTATTGAAGCATTGTTTTTAAACAAATCGTTATATCGAAACCGGGATACTTTTAACGTGTTCTGACACTGAAAGGTACAAATCTTTTTTGTCACTACCTTAGACTATAGCATAAGTCTTTGATGACATAAATAACTAAGTGACACACTTCAGAATGTACTTACTGAATATGTTGGAACAATGGCAATAAGAAACTGTTTAACAACAATAGCCTCTGCAAATATTTATAACATATCCAGTGAAACAAATCAGTTAAACGTCTTAGGTTAATACATTGATGAAAGCCTTCACTTACATGTATGATCAAATAATTAATTTATAGAATAACACAAGTCAACATATGGGGATATTATCCCACTTATTTAATCTTAATTAATCCATTGTTATGACGAAAGTAATAGATTGTTAGCACAAAAATAATCAATATCAATGAAAGATATCTAATTTATGAAGTTCCCGGCACAGAAATCCAACCATCGAATCAACGATGAATAGTTTCGTCTTCCACTGGCAAGACAAAATAGACAAAATTTGAATTCTACTTAAGTTATAAGCAAAGATGAATAGTGGCTAGCAATGGAATCCAGGACGCTCAATACGCACAGTATGCAAATATGGCCAATAAGAGACTGACCAGTTGCAGTTCTCAATATCAATGGGAAGATTCAAACAAAGCAATACTAAGTGAATTTATACTTGAGTTCCCTTAGAGATTAATAAGTTATTGTGCTTATTATTATATAAGCAAGTTTATCAAGAATTTTTGATAAGACTTGGATTGAATTATCATTAGAAGTCATAACATATTAAAAGAAAAGGTACATGAAATGAACGATTACACTGATAAGATTAGTTATTTACTATCAACTAGTGTTATGAGCTCAAATAACAAGATAGGCCCAACCAACATTTTGTATGCAATGAGATATAATAATTCAATAAAGTGGATCAAAACTAAAATCCTACTGACCAATATAATTCAAGACTACTTCTGTTGAAACGAATTGCTGAGCCAACTGGAATCAAAAAGCGGAAAGGTTAAGATCTATCAAAAACCACTACAACTATAAATTCACTTAGTATTGTTTGTTTGAATTTTCCCATTGATGTTTTTGAACTGAAACTGGTCAGTCTCTAATTGGCATATGTGTATACTGTGCGTATTGTCTCGATATAGCCTAAAGGTACATCCAGCTGACAAGTCCCAAATAAGACGAAACACGTGTCAAACTGGATTCCACTGCTAGCCACTATCCATCTTCATTACAACTATAGTTCTTCTTGTAAACGGTAAACGAGTGATAGATTTTATGACATATCAAACAACAGAAAACGCTAGTGAAAATCTTCATAACTAGAATTCGTTATAAGTAGGAGTATCATTGGTTTATTCCTAACTCTAATCTGCACATAAACATCATAAATTTAAGTATATTAGCAATATTAAAAGAAAAAACATACATTTTAGAATTTACTTCAAGTAGAATTGTGCTGCTTTCAAGGAACCGAGTATTGTCACAAAGAAATTTATTGTCTACTATAACACTTATAGACTTTATAACTGGGCTGAAATCAGCTGATCAATGATTGTGAAGGTAACATGCGTTATTGATTATTTTTTTTTGTTCTTTGTATTAACCTATTAAAGTAGTGCAGATATGGGAAATAACCTTGACCATCCAATGATAAATGGATCTATATGCCCATTAGATGATAAGTTTATTGGTTAGAAAAATTTTCAGTCCATCATTGTTTTCAATATTACCCCATTGTAATAAAGAACCCATAGCACGTGTCTTTAAATAACACTAATGTGAAATCTAGGCATCAATGCTTTCTTCTAGAATAATATTTATAAATTAAATCGTTTACATCAAACCCTGGTAGCCTAGGGTTTATACCTGTTTAATACAAAAACGATACCTCTTACAAAGTATTTCCTCCCTGTTTAATGAAGTTTTATGGTTATTCATAGTGCTTACTGGAAAAAAAAACAAAATTTTCGTTTATCATTATCTACAAAGCCAATACCGAAATTTCATTCTATAGAAGTCAATTGTCCATGAAACAACTGGTAGAAAACACTTGTGATATACAAAGTCAGTCAGTCAGCTACGACATAGGATCAGGCACATATATGCATCAGTCGAAGTTGCCAAACTTCGTGATATACAAAACTAACTAACCAGTAGACACGTTAATATCGACATAAGAATACACATTTGTCCAATGTCTACTTCTGCGGTTCATTATCCATTTAAAACAACTGACTAGTTTACATAAATGAATGTTCTAACAATTTTGTTTGCATATAGTTGATATCATGAGTCAATTGAAGCTAGACCATCATGGAAAACCTGAAAGCACTCAATGGCCGTTTCGTTCTATTATGGGACTCCTCAGCAGTGCGCACCCATGATCCCGGTTCGTGAGATTCGAACCCAGGACCTACCAGTCTCGCGCCAGAGTATATAACCAATAGACCACTAAGCCGGCACCCAATGGTGTTAATGTCTAACCAGATTTTATAGCATATATCGTGCAAAGCTATGATACTTCATAGCTCGAACCCATCTTCTCCCAATATTTTTATCGAAAAACTAATTCGATGAATATTCGAAACTTGATGGAAAGATTTTAACAACTTTTACTGATTCATCAAGGATTGATATTAGTTGTATATGATGGATAATGTAATTCGTAGTCAGTAGTCTGAGTGTATCATATTAGTTGTGCGATCATCAGATTAGTCCTGTGTTTGACTGAGAAAACAACAAAAAAGCAGTAAAATTGATGGAGTTTTGTTCTCTGAACTGGACAAAACTCTATCAAAATCATCCAGCTGAGCTAAGAATCTTCTTCACCATTTCAAAGAGTAGCAATTATTTTGATAAATCTTACAACAGTATCAATTGAAAGAATTGACTTGTCTATAAGAATAGCCAGATAGTAACGTAACATAATGCATTAAAATACTCTAATATGTTAAGATTATATGCTGAATCCTATTTATTCATACTGTCATATATCAACACTGAATGTAAAACTTCAAATCCGTATTATTTAAATCTACTCATGTACCTATTTTTATAATTATTGTGACTATAAGTTTTTTTCGGTCGGTAGTTTTTTGGAGAGCGGGAGGACTAATGAACTTCTAGTCATCCAAAGAATTATAAAGGATTATCTGTTGTAAAGAACAAATTACGCCGGGAAATAGAAGCAGATATGAAAAGGTAGAATAGCAACTGGAAAGAACTGGAAAGGAAGGCTCAGGACAGAGTTGGATGGAGAATGCTGGTGAGCGTCCTATGCTCCTCGACGAGGGGTAACAGGTGTAAATAAGTAAGTAAGCATCTGTTGTATATAGTTGAAATCATGAGTCAATTCAAGGTAGACCACTGTGGAAAACCTGCAAACACTAGACGGCCGTTTCGTCCTATTGTGGGACTCCTTAACAGTGCGCATCCACGATCCCGCATTCGCGAGATTCGAATTGTGCAATTAGATGAGCTGAACCTATTGTGTATATAATTCAATTTAGTAAATTGACAAATGAATTAACTACCTTCCATTCGATATACATATTCATAAACCTCATCAATCGACATTTGAATATGCCCTCCTCTATTTGGTTAAATCAAAAACAAGTAACATGTTAACTGACTTATTTACATAACGGTTTATTTGGTAATAAAATTCATATGAAAGCTAAACAGCTGTGTAACATATGCTTATAGTGTATACAAGTTTTCTTTAACATTCAACAAAGTGTGCCGTGGTAATCAAAAAAGACAACGAATATCCCTTTTAGTAATAAAATATGAAATTATTATGTAATAGTAATGATTAGGATACAGTCCATTTGATGTTAAAATAATTGGGACATAAGTTTTTCGGCATGTACCCTAGTTGTACATCGTTTATTTTACTGTTTATCATCTAATCTGTAGCCTAATTAGCATCAATAGACAGATGATCTGATACTGTATGTTATGCCGAAAATAAAAAAATACAACCTTCCTCAGTTTCTTAGAAGAATGATCGGTTGAAGTTAGACATTAACATAATTTGATGCCGGCTAAGTTGTCTAGTGGTTAAGCGCTCGCGCGTGAGACTGATTGGTCCTGGTTTCGAGTCTCGTGAGACGGGATCGTGGATGCGAACTGCTGAGGATTCTCACAATATCAAGAAACGACCGTCCAGTGTTTCCAAGTTTTCCATGGTAGTCTAGCTTCAATTGATTCATGATCTCAACTAATGAAATGATAAATGTTGAAAAAGTAAAACATTATGAACATACTATCTGTTGATTACATAACAATGCAAATCAAAGTAAAACATCTTTAATCTTAATCATGTTGATTATGCAATTGGTTCTAATATTAAAAACTGTGAACCTAAACGAATTCTTCACAGTATTTGGGTGTCGAGTTGATTTGAGACATTAAAGAGGTAGAATGTATTTGTAAAATTTCAATGAATCAATTTAAAGTAAATCCAACGTTTCGCCTGGTAATCTCATTCAAGTTTTTTTTCAATCAAATATAAACGAATTCTTTTAATTATGCTTGATTTAAATTCTGAGCTATAATGTTGTACGTGGACGAAATTAAGTGTAACAATGGAAATATAAGTACATTTTAAATTCAACTTAGTATTGTTTGTTTGGATCTTCCCATCGATGTGTTTAGGACTGCAACTGGTCAGTCTCTAATTGACATATGTGCATATTGTGCATATTGCCTCGATATAGCCTTAATTCACAAGCATTATAAGCAAAGATGGATAGTGGCTAGCAGTGGAATCCAGTTTGATGTGCGTTAATTCTTCCTATTTGGGACTCGTCAACTGGATGTACCTGCATCTCAGAGTTGATGTTAACTCTGGGACTCGAACCCCATACCCTCGCTTCAAACGCCATCGCGTTATCCACTCGGCCACTGAGTTCTGATAGCCACTTGCTTGTGCGATGGGGTGAAGTTTAAATTCACTTAGTATTGTTTATTTGAATCTTTCCATTAATGTTTAGCACTACAATTGATCAATCTCTAATTAGCATATGTGCATACTGTGCGTATTGCCTCGATATACCTTAATTCACAAGCATGGTTAGCAGAGATGGATAGTGGCTGAACATCAACTCTGAGATGCAGGTACTTCCAGCTGAGGAGTCCCAAATAGGGCGAACCGCGCGTCCTGGATTCCACTGCCAGCCACTATCCATCTCCGATAAGTACATTTTGTTTGAAAATCAAAGAATTAACTAAATGAATTGGAATTATTGTGATGTGGGTTACTTATATCCGTACAATTAGTATATAATGATAATCGGGCATTGAATGTATTTCAGTAGAAGATCTATAAAGAAAGAACGATAACACAACGCCATTGGTATGAAAATGCATGAACAATGAAATCAGATATGATTGACTAACATTTGCAGAAGGAATAGTCGAGGTTAAGATGAATCGATTAATAGTTTGTAAATTAACTATTCACTGTATGATTGTCGGATTTCACTAAGATATTCCATAATTTTGTGCTCGAATTCGTTCAGGTGTTCCCACTCATGTTCTTTTCTCTACATTACGACTGTTAAGATGATTTATTGTACTTTCCATTTACAAATGAAATCGGTTTTTGTTAAAGAATGACATGATTTGGAAAGCTATTAATGATAAAGGTGCATTAGATGGCTATTTGATCGTAATTTGAGAGTATTCATAAATATTCACTCATTCTGCAATTATTTATAATTGTAGTCTTCAGTGAGATCTATTCACAAAGGGGAAGTAAGGAGTGTTGACAATTGAATTTCAGTTATTTTGATATTGTAATAAACATTGTTAATTATACTCAAAGATATTCTGGAGGTTTTGAAAAATCAACTATAGTCAATGATGCAGAACTTACCGTAGTAAAGAAGAACTCAAGTGGGGACAATAAATTTATTGATTAATATAAAGTAACAGAGTTATTTGGTAAAATGTGAAAACTAGGCATTAAATACTTCATTTGAAAACCTTCCATCAATTTTCTCAAACTTTATTGTTCCTTCGTTGCTACTACAATTACTACATGATTATTTTCCCATTCTATTCAGTTTGATCTTCTCAATCTTCTGCAGTCAGACACTTAACTTCTGATTGGTGTTACATACTACTTACATTTCTCTATATAAGTAATATACACCAATGTTTTTGTTATAGAATGTAAACAATTCTGTGTTTAAATTCACTTGGTAATGTTTCTTTGAATCTTCCCATCGATTTTTGTTAGAACTGCAACTGGTCAGTCTCTAATTGGCATATGTGCATACTGTGTGTATTGCCTCGATATACCTTAATTCACAAGCATGGTTAGCAGTGAAATCCAGTTTGACGCGCGTTTCGTCCTATTCGGGACTCGTCCTGGATTCCACTGCTAGCCACTATCCATCTCTGCTAATTCTGTGTTTAGTTTAAAGTGAATAAATTTGATA